AGGGAGTGGGAAGACCGGGGCCGAGTGGCGTGGCAATGTCAGGTGTCGGTTGCATCGGCCACTTTGGCGGGGCTTCCGTCTGGCTCCCTGGGCCCTTCCCCGGACCTGCTGGCCTTACAGGGATGGCCTGTGGAAAGTCAGAGGGGGACAGCTTGTCGCATGGACAGAGATGTCTGTGTGGTCTGTTTGTGCCCGCTCTGCCCTCTGTCTCATCGATATTCTCGTCCTGGCCAGTTGGACAAGAAAGCTTTGTTGAAGGGGCCAGGGAGAAAGCCGACTGTGTGTGTGTGTGTGTGTGTGTGTGTGTGTGTGTGTGTGTGTGTGGGCGCGCGCGCGCGCACATGCGCACCACCCCTGTGGGGATACAGACCCCTGCAGACAGCCAGCGACAGATCCGAGGCTTGGCATGGGGCAGGGAGGCAAGACCTTCCACTTCTGTGATGATGAAGATGATGGTGAGGATGATGGTGATGGCTGCCAGCACTTACTGAACACTCACACTCAATTCCATACATACATACGTTATCATGTCATCTAATCCTAGGAGGGAGGTACCATTATCATCCCCATTTTACAGATGAGCAAACAGAGCCCCCAGGAGGCAAAGTGACTTGCCTAGGGCCACGCAGCTAGTAAAGGGCAGAGCCAGGATTTGAACCCTGACCCTCCTGGGTCTTACCCATAAGGCTGTCTGCCCCTTTGGGACAAAGGGGTCATAAAGGATGACAGGGGACGGCAATTTAAAAAACTGTGTTTAGATTGCAGTTTTGGGAGTCAGACTGCTGCGTTCAAGTGCCAGCTCATCCCTCTTACTGTGTGCCTCAGTTTCCCTTTCTGTAACACGGGGATAAAAATGGTATCTGCTTTCTCCACTGTTTGTTTCTTGGGTGCCTACTAAGTGTCAAGCGCGCTAGCGACTTTAAGTGCATTATTGCACACCCTCCTCCAGCAGCCTCCTAAAAGCCCTAGGGAAGTAGGTATTTGTTCTCATTTGCAAGTGAGGTTGTGGATGGGGAAGGGGAGGTGGCTAGCGGGACTGGGAAAAAGACAGAAGCAGCTGCCAGAGAGGCGCAGCTAGCTGCTGGTTCCCCTCCTGGAAGCCCCCGGCCTTGGGCCAGGGGGCGGGGCCTGGAGGGGGTGTGGCCTATCCTGGGGCCCCATTGGCTGCCCGGAGGCGCCTGGGGGGATAAAGCCCGGACCCGTTAGCCCCGGGACGGTTCTGAAGACACTCTCTACGTGTTCTACCCTTCATCTGTCCGTGGGCCATCTACCCATCTAGACCATCTCCAACCTATCCCTCCCTTGCTCGCACGCTTTGTGCAGCCGCCAGCTCATCGCCTTTGCCCGGTAAGCGGCCCCATCCATCCTCAGCTCCATCCCTGCCACTGGAGTGCCTGCGGCCAGCCTGGGTTTTCCCAGGGGAAGAGGGGGAGGTAGAGTCAATTGAGCATAAAAACCCATGCTTTGAAGCCAGACTGTCTGGGTGCACTGCCAGCTCTGTGCCTCAGTTTCCTCATCTGTAAAGTGGGGGCAATAATAACAGAACCTTCCTCTTAAGGTTGTTGTGAGGGTGAAATGAGATAGTGCACTTAAAGTGTTCAGTCCACGTATAATAATAGTTCATTTTTACTGAGCTCGTACTGTGACTTCTGACTGCCGGGGTGACGGGTAGGCAGACTGCAGCTTCCCGCGCCCTCTCCCTCCTCCGCGTCTGGCTCAGCCTCCTTTTTTGAAGTCTTACCTTCCTTAGCAGGTGGGAATGGCTGCCCAGTGCAGTTTACAGATGCCCCCTTTCCACAGGGCACTGTGCTGGAGGGACCCTGGCCCCTCACCTGAGGGCATCCGATGGCACAGTGGGAGTCGGGTTGGGGGCGGGTGTTCCAAATCCACCTGAAAGGGGTGGGTGCCTCCCCCACCCCAACCAGGAGGGCTCCCTGAGGCCAGGACTTGGCTACCTGCATAAGACCTTAAGGTCCAGTCAGCCAGAACAAGAGTGCCATTGTCTGAGGAATAACCTCCAGGAACTAAAAGTTAATTCAAACAGATGTGGGGATGCCCCTGTTTTGGAGTGCCTCCTGTCTCTGACTTTTATTCAGCAGATCTAGGGGAGAGGTGGTGTGTGTTTGGGCGCCCCCTCCCAGGCCCTGAATGTCAGTTAATTCAGAAAGACATGGGAGGCCCATATTTGGGGGTGCTAAGGCTGCTGGGGTGGTCAGAACGCCATCCCCCACTTTTCTTCCAAGCCGGGCATATCTGGACCATTCTGGGAGGGGGGATGCATGGGCCAGGAGTACCCAGGTCCAGGGGCTGGACCAGTGGAGTCACTGGAAATGTAGTGGGGGGATGGGAGGGGGTAGCCACCCTTGCCTGGCCTTCTGGGGTCGGGGGGAAGGGAGGAGCAAATAGGCTGTTCAACCACCCGCTGATCAATTCCGACTCCCATCAAGTTGGGGACAATCAGTTTGCCCTGTGACTCAGCAGGAGAGGCAGGAGGGAAAGCCTGCATGTGTATGCGGGGGCGTGGTCAGAATCTGGGCCACCTTACTTTCTCGGTCACCCAGAATCCGTGCAGACAGGAGACCCTGAGCCACACCCATGTGTCCTGGAGAGAGCCTGCCTCTGGGCCTAGACTGCCTGGTTCAAATCCTGTCTCCCCCACTTAGGAACTCTCTGGCAGTCCAGTGGTTAGGATTCCACGCTTTCACAGCCAAAGGCACAGGTTCATTCCCTGGTTGGGGAACTAAGATCCCACAAGCCACGCGGCATGGCCAAAAATAAAAAATAAAAATCCTGCCTCCCCTACTCCCTAGTTGTGTGAACTTGGGCAAGTCAATACTCCAGCCTCTATTGCTGTGTGACAAACTGCCCCAAGGTGAGTGACTGAAAACAACAGCAGACATTCTTTACCTGTCATGACCCTGGGGCTTGATTGGACTCAGCCAGGCAGTTCCCACTTGGGTCTCACTTGGGGGCTGCAGTGTGATGACGGTAGCTGGGCTAGAGTCATCCCTAAGTCAGACCCCAAGTCTGGCCATCAGCTGGAATCTCAGCTGGAACTGTCGGGCGGGACACCTACCTGTGGCCTCCGCGTGCGGCCTGGGCTTGCGCCGCCCATCATGGCATCTGGGTTAGGACAGGGAGCTTACCAGCCAGGTGGAAGCTGGGTCACCTTACATGGACCAGCCTTGAGAGCCACACTGGGCTAGAGCCACACACTAGAAATCAGGACTTTCTTTTCCTTTGGAGAAGCCATAGTTAAATATTCACCAGCACCTCACTGCTTGGAGGTCACATAGTGTCACTTCCACTGCAGCCACAGCGCCCCTCCCACCTCCGACCCAGTTCAAGAGGAGGAAGCATAGACCCTACCCCACCTCTCATCTAGAAAAGCGTCAATGTCGCATCATAAGAGGTACATGTGGTCAACCTGAAAAACAGAGTCTGAGTCTGTTTCCTCACCAGAACTGGAGAATAATGACACCTCCTAGGACTGTTGAAAGGATTAAGTGAGTTAATATCTGTAAAACTTAAGACAGTGCCTGGCACATGGTAATCACTTTAGAAGTGATTATTAAATAATATAATAATTATTATAAAAAATAACAATAGGGCTTCCCTGGTGGCGCAGTGGTTGAGAGCCCGCCTGCTGATGCAGGGCACACGGGTTCGTGCCCCGGTCCGGGAAGATCCCACGTGCCACGGAGCGGCTGGGCCCGTGAGCCATGGCCACTGAGCCTGCGCGTCTGGAGCCTGTGCTCCGCAATGGGAGAGGCCACAACAGTGAGAGGCCCGTGTGCTGCAAAAATAAATAAATAAATAAAAATTAAAAAAAAAAAAATAACAATAATAAAAAGCTTCCCCTAACTGGGTACAGGGCTTTCTGAAGGTTAGTTTTTTAAAAATGCATATTTTGGACTTCCCTGGCGGTGCAGTGGTTAAGAATCCACCTGCCAATGCAGGGGACACGGGTTCGATCCCTGGTCTGGGAAGATCTGACATACCGTGGAGCAACTAAGCCCGCGAGCCACAACTACTGAAGCCCACGTGCCCTAGAGCCCGTGCTCCACAAGAGAAGCCACTACGACGAGAAGCCCCGCGCGCCACAATGAAGAGTAGCCCCCGCTCACCGCAACTAGAAAAAGCCCACACGCAGCAACGAAGACCCAATGCAGCCATAAATAAATAAATAAATAAATAATTTTAAAAATAAAAATGCATATTTAAATAAGTAATATATATGCACATGGCAAAACATTCAAATTGTACATAAGGGGATGCCGAGTGCCAGTTCTCCTCAGAGGTCCCCACCCTGACTGGTTTCTTGTGTGTTTGCTGAGATGTTCTGTGCACACAGGAGCATGTGGATTGTGTGTGTGTGTGTGTGTGTGTGTGTGTGTGTGTGTGTGTCCCTGCACAGACTAGACCTGATATCCCACCCCTGCTTCAGCCATTTAGCCATCCTGTGGCTCATTCTGAATCAGCACCTGCAAATCTATTTCCACCTCATGCTCTTCAAAAGTTACAAAGTCTGGATGTTCTTTCTTTCTTTCTTTCTTTCTTTCTTTTTCACGGCGCCATGCAGCTTGTGGGATCTTAGTTCCCTGACCGGGGATCGAACCCACGCCCTCGACAATGAGAGCAAGGAGTACTAACCCCTGGACCGCCAGGGAATTCCCTGGATGTTATTTCTGATGTTCGTAGCTTCCCAGCATAGCGTATGTGTGTCTTGGGGTGGGCAAGGTGGGGGGCAGATGACCCTTATGCCCATTTTACAGATGAGGCAGCTGAGGCTGAAGGGAGATTCCTTGTCCCATGTCAAGTAGGTGGCCGAGTTGAGATTTGAACTCAGGTCTCCAGGTTGCTATAATCTGGGCCTTGTCCTTGGCCTCCTGGGAAGTTAGGGACAGGGTCCCTCCCAGCCACACTGCCTACTGAATGGCAGCAGCTGCCACCAGGGCCAGCTCCCCTGACCCTCTGGGTTTCCTTCCTTTCTCCCAGCAATGATGTCAGGCGAACCCCTGCACGTGAAGACCCCCGTCCGTGACAGCATGACCCTGTCCAAAGTGGCTGGCACCACCGTCTATCTCAAGATAGACAGTGCCCAGCCCTCCGGCTCCTTCAAAATCCGGGGCATCGGACACCTCTGCAAGACGGTACAGCACGGGCTCTGCATCATCCGGGAGAGTGCAGCAGGTCCTCTTTCTGGACAGGCCAGGGCCAGTGCCGTGTGAAATCCTAGGAGCTACAGGCTAGGCCCTGCAACTTCCCCGCAATGCCTGAGCACCCACCATTAACGCCTCCTCTGATTAAGGGATGCCAGTCCAGAGGGTCCCCTTGTGGACTGATCCCAGAGCCATCAGTGGCCTGACTCTCCCTCACCCTTCCCTGAGCCAGTCTCTTTGGGGAGGGAAGATGTACGGCCTGATCCCCTCCCTCTTTGTCTCTACAGTGGGCTGAGCGAGGCTGTGAACACTTTGTCTGTTCCTCGGGTAAGTGGCCTGCATGCCTCCTCCTGTCCTCTGCTGTGTGTCCTGGGGCCAGGGGCTCCACCTCTCTGGGCCATGCAAACATCTGCCGAAGTCCCAATTTAGAATTCCAGCTGGAGGCCAGCAGTCACCCAGGGAGGGTTCAGAGCCTGGAGGTCAGGGAGTCCCACTAACACCATCCACCCCCCACCCCTGGCAGCAGGCAACGCAGGCATGGCAGCTGCCTACGCAGCCAGGAAGCTGGGCATTCCCGCCACGATCGTCGTGCCCAGCACCACGCCTGCCCTCACCATCCAGCGGCTCAAGAATGAGGGCGCCATGGTCAAGGTGGTGGGTGAGGTGAGCGCCAACCTGGGGCAGGGGCCACAGAGGGCACCTGGTAGCAGGGTCAGGTCCCCCAGCCCCTCACCCCTCCCGCCTCCTCTGTGATCTTGCAGACATTGGATGAGGCTGTCAAGGTGGCCAAGGCCCTGACGAAAAACAACTCAGGCTGGATCTACGTCCCTCCCTTCGATGACCCCCTCATCTGGTACGTGGAGCCCAGGGTCACCCGGGGTGGGTAGTGACCACCCCACCACCCCACTGAGTAGACACCTGCCATGATGAACACCATCACACACAGCGGTGTACACGTGTGTGCACATCATCATATAGAAGCACACACACAGGCATGGCAGCTGGTGCCCACACACACGTGCACCAATGCCCATTCTCCTTGACCGTGAGCGAACACATGGGCTCAGATACACAGGTGTGTGCGATCGGGTCCCCCAGAATCAGACCCCGAGACAAAGATTTCAGGGAAAGCAGTTGACTTGGGAGGTGACTCATTAGAGGAGTGAGGAGGAAAGCCAATAAAGAGCACTGATGGGCCAGTGACCACTGTGGGCAGCTGGCTCTCAGTCCCTCGGGAGCCCCTGGAAGCCAGTGTGGAACATGAACCAGAGTTACCACACCTGCAGAAGATGATGCTGGGGCATCTGTACATCAACTCCCGTAATTCTTAATTCCCATAGTTGGTTGAGGGCTGCTCTCAGGGGGTTTCATCTCCTGGCACCGCCAGCTGCCACAGTCATAGTGCTCCAGTGGCCAGAGAAAGCCCTCAGATAGAGATGCAGATTCTGGCAGCTGGAAATCAGGGCGGAGTCGGGGACGAGGTGACGAGCCCCGAGGCCCATTAGCCGCCTGGGATGAGGGCAAATACAGAGGGTAAGTGGCATCTTCAGGGCTGCCTGGGGTCTCCAGGAAGCCCAGCCCTGACCTGCTCCCCCCCCCCCCACCCCCCCCCCGCCATAGTCCTAGAGCTCCAGTGCCCAAAAGCAGTCCCAGACTCTGGTTATTTGGCTGTTGGAGTCAACTATCCCCCCACCTCAACCATCTTCCCCGTAGTCGGAGCGTCAGAGAAACTAATGGGGCTGAGGAAGGGGCCCCCCCCCTCCCCGCCCCCCCCCCCCCCCACCTCCTCCAGGGAAGGCCACTCTTCTATCGTGAAGGAGCTGAAGGAGACGATGAGCACAAAGCCGGGGGCCATCGTGCTGGCGGTGGGGGGTGGAGGGCTGTTATGCGGAGTGGCCCAGGGGCTGGTGGAGGTGGGCTGGGGGGACGTGCCCATCATCACCATGGAGACCATCGGAGCCAACAGCTTCCACGCTTCCACCAAGGCCGGCAAACTTGTCACCCTTCCCCAGATTACCAGGTAAGTAGGCAGGGGTGCTGCCACTATGTTCCGTGAGCGTTGGGGAGCTCCCCCCTTGGTGCTGGCTGTGAGGCAGATTCCGATGCCAGTCCCATTTTATAGGTGAAGAAACTGAGGCTTTGGTCACTTGCCCAGAGTCACACAGCCAGTGAGTGGTACGGCTGGGACCAAACCCAAGTCTGTGTGACTCTGTACCATGAACATCACACTTCCTTGCACGAAAAGTCTAAGATTAATCATTTATTGGGTTCCTCTGTGGCAGGGTTTTACACACCTCACTAATTTACCAACCATTTACTGAGCCCCTAATATGTGCAAGACACTGGCTGATCCTGGGGAGACAGTGGTGAATAAACACAGCTCCTGCTCCCAAGGAGTTCTTATCCCAGCCCCAAACTTTTGACAGATGGTGTTTGATTAGGATTAGGTTTGGCCACATTATAAAGGAGCCCAAAATAACAATGGCTTAAACAAAATTGAACCTTATTTCCTCTCATATATAAAAAAAATCTGGAGGTAGGCAGTCCAGGGGCAACTCCACGAAGCCAGGGGCCCAGGACCCTTGAGTTTGTTCTCCATAATCCTTATCATGTAGACTTATGGCCCAAAATAACTGCTTAAGTGCCAGCTATCACACCCATACTCCATCTAGCAGGAAGAAGTCAGGGCAGAAGCTATGCCCCCTCCCTTCAAAGACACAATACTTCCATTTACCTCTCATTGGCCAGAAGGTAGTCACATGGTCTGCCTCCCTCCTCTCTCCTATCTCTTCCCCCCGCTTCTCCATCCTTGCCTCTCCCAGTGTTGCCAAAGCCCTGGGCGTGACCACTGTGACAGCACAGGCTATGAAGGTGTTTCAGGAACACCCCATTTTCTCTGAAGTTGTCTCGGACCAGGAGGCTGTGGCCGCTGTTGAGAAGTTTGTGGGTATGTGCCAAGTCCTTTCAAGACCCAACCTGCTGATTCAGGACCTAAGTGGCTGTCCACTTGGCGTGCCAAGGGATCCCATTCACAGTTCTGCCTCCCGTCCCTCCCTGGAATTTCCCATTAATGGAAGTTAATGCAATGCGGTGGTAAAAATAGGAAGACCAAAGGAACAAATGAAGAAGTAAGTCTGATAACATAACAGCAAGGAAAAATAACGAAGTATTTAAAATGTTGGCTCTGAGTTTCCTGGTAGCCAGGGTAACAAAGGAAACTATGGGCCTCAGTGTTGGATTCAGAGGTGGGTCTGTAACTAAGTTGGACTCTTACTGGGTTCATCCTGGGACAGGGATGACAAACACACACACACACACACACACACATACACACACACACACACAAAGCTGCCACTTAATTCTCCTATACTCACAGTTAGTTTGGCTAATCAACCCTGGCATTCTTGCTCAGATGATTCCTCAGAATCCTCAGCATGGTGCTCAGGAAATTACAATCATTTTTTCAGTGTTAGCACTGATGATGAAACTCAGCCCTGGCTCAGACCTTGCAAGTTCAATGTAGGTAATGATGGCAGGTGGGGTTGGTCCTGGACCAGAGCCTGTGCCCAGGGCTGAGAGCTGATTGGCTCTTGCTTTACCAGTGGCCCAACTGTTCCCTTGCACCCTGTGGAACTCTGGCTCTACCCTTACTATCCTCCCCCCCCCCCCCCCCCCGCCCCGGCAGATGAGGAGAAAATCCTGGTGGAGCCCGCCTGTGGGGCAGCCCTAGCCGCCATCTACAGCAACGTGGTTCAGAAGCTGCAAGGAGAGGGGAAGCTCTGCACCCCACTGTCCTCCCTCGTGGTCATCGTTTGTGGGGGCAGCAACATTAGCCTGGCCCAGCTGCCAGCGCTCAAGAAACAGCTGGGCATGAAGAGCAGGCTGCCCCAGTGAGGACGCTTCCCCTACCCGGGAGACCCCTGGAAGGGCTGGAGTTCTATCCAGTGACTTGTTAAATATGATTCTTGTGTCTGTTGGGAGCCTGTGGCCCGGGCCAGCCGGTAACCTCATTCTCATGAGAACACTGTGCGGAAGGCCCGGAAGGGAAGCAGCCAGCAAGGCTGTGAACTGAACTCTTTGGTATCTGTGTGACTGCTCTGTGGTTTCTGCCCGCCCCCCGCTCTTATCCACCCCCGCTAGGGTGACAACCACCCACATGGAATAGACCAGGTACCCTGAGCAGGGTGGGCAGGAGGGACAGGAACCACAGCAGCGGGGCCTCCTCAAGATGAGATGTCCCCGACCCAGGCTTTCTCCCTGGGAAGGTGGACAGGGCCACAGTCCAGGGTGGAAGAACCATCTTGTCTCTCCTCCCAGAAAGCCCAAAGTCCATCCTTACTCACTTTTCTAATGTGCAAACTTTCATTGAAGAAAAGCATTATTTATTGAAATGAAGCTCCTTTGAGTTTTTCCAACATGGCTGCCTTCCTCCCTCCCTCCCTTCCACCCCACCATGCCTGCTGTCACCGCCAGCTCTCAACACTCACCACCGTTCCATCCTCCACCCCACCCCCACCCCTGGGAACCCCAGGCTCCCACTTGGAAGCCAGGATCCCAACTCCCCCTGGGCTTGTGTGCCAGGAGGGGGCATCCCTGCATGGCAGGGAGCAGGTGAGGGGGAGCTGTGCTGAACACGAGGGGTTTGGGATGGGATGCAGGCCTCCAGTGGAGGCAGAAGAGTCCAACCTCATTCTGTTCGGAAGTCCTTCCTGATAACAGAATGATTTTATCACAGAACCACTGGGAGCAGAGTAGTGAGTCCCCCATTCGTGGGGGTTTGTAAACTGACACTGGACACCCATCTCTGGTCAACGTCAAGCAAACCCTCTCAAACACAAACCCTCTCTTCCAAGGACAGCACATTACTGAAGCCAGCCTATAAACCAGACAAGAGGAACTGCCGGGGTTGCCTGGAGGTCCTGAAGGGAGCCCCCCATAGCCACTCAAGAAGACCCCTGCACTACCTACAGCAGCCCCTGGGACACTAGTGGATCCCCAAGTTCAAAGTGAAGTTTGAGAACCAACCTAACCCTTTGGGATAAAACACAGATCCACATGGGCTTGCAGTCCCCCACCCGCCTTGACAAGGAGCAGGTGCTGTGAAATTTCAGGGAAAACCCAACCCAGCGACAGGCTTACATGCTGATTTCCAGCCAGGAGGGACAGCACATGTACTTTAAAAACCCAGGAGAGAGGACAGCAGGAAAGGGCAGGCAGGGATGGGAAATCATCAGCCCCTTGGCCCCAGAATTGTTCCCAGGGGGACAGGGCCTAAAACAGCATTCAGTTCAGGGAAACCTGCCCAGAACAGGAGTCTCCAGCTTCCACTGTCCCGCCTGAAATCAGGCACAAAACCCCCAAAGAAGGGAGGCAGACATCTCTGCCCACTAAAGGAGGAGCCGCTGTGGGCCAGGGCCGACCAGCTGGCCAGACCCTTGTCCTGCAGGGGAGGGCAGAAGTCACAGATGAACCTGCGGCTGCCATCTTGAAGCTGAGGATTGTGGGAAACTCCCAGGGCAAAGGTGCTGAGGGAAACTGCCTTTCAGGCTGCCCCTGCAAAGGTGGGTCCTGCCTTCACTGGATTGGCTGAAGCTCCAGTGGGGGACCATCTGCATGACCCCCCATTCTCTGTTCAGTCACCTTAGCTTCACACCTACCCTTAACTCCTGAAAAGCCGCAAGAGGGACCAGAATCATTCTAGGGAACAGACAAGAGTTGCCCCTTCCTACAGAGTGGCCCTGTTTGAGTTCCACCAGCCTGAGCCACTGATTGCATCTGCCAAATGGGTCTCATAAAAGCCTCAGCCTCAAGAGTGGTTGGGAAGTTCCAGTGGCCGGCGCACGGTGGTGGGGGGTGGTGACCTTTGTTCTGCTGGGGCCTGCGCCATAACAAGGAGGTGGGGAGGGAGAGCTGTGTCCCATGGGAGAGTCTGCAGACCTGGGCCCCCGTCCTAGTTCTGAAGGGCCCAAGACTTGAGATTTCAGGCACATCACTTCCCTTCTCCAAGTCTGCATCCTCACCTTTTAACCACATGTGAACATCCCGGCCTACCCCACCTAACAGGGCTGTTGTGAGCTCAAGAGACATGGGAAAGACAACACTCTTAAGGGAGCTGGGAAATGTACCGGCAGAAAGGTTAATTTTTAGAACCACAAGTTGTCAATTCCCAGATAACAAGAATTGTAAAGCTATGGTGAGAAACAGCAAACTTCCCTGGCAGTCCAGTGGTTAGGGCTCCGTGCTTCCACTGCAGGGGGCACAGGTTAGATCCCTGGTCAGGGAACTAAGATCCCACAAGCTACACAGCAAAGCCAAAAAAAAACAAAAAGAAATAGCAAATCCATCCCCAGCCCTCAGCTGTGCTTTAGTTTCTCCAGAGCACTTACCAGCATCTTACACGCTGTATGTCTATTTTCACTATCTACCTCCCCAATGTAAATGTCACAAGAGCAAGGATTTTTTTTTTTTTTGGTGGGGGGATACCTGTTGTTCTGAGGTATCCCCAGAACCTTATAACAGTGCCTGGAATGTTCTAAGCATTCTATAAATTCTCGCTAATGCATGAATGTTGCATGTGTGAGGCCCCGTGTGGGCTACGTCACAGCCACTTTTGCTGCAAATCCTCACCCTCCTCCCACCGAACGTGCACACACATGCGCGGGGAAATGCTGCTCACATGGTTATACCTATTTTACAGATGAGGTAACCAAGGCTCAGAGAGATTAAGTCCCATAACTAGTAGGAGGTGGAGACAGGATTTGAACCCAGGCCTCGGACTCCCGGGTTGCGTCCTTTCCCTAAGCACATCGCATTGTGCGAGTCTCCACTGTAGGCTTTGGGTAAGATCAGGTGGGGAGGGACTCTGTGTTGTGTTGATCTGTCCCCCACCCCCACCCCCCAGTAGGATTTGGGAAGGTCTTGGTGGTTAAGAGAGCCCTAGAACAGGACCCAGAACAAAGTACGTGTTCAATAAACATATGGATAGACGGATGGTCGGATAGATATGGATGGATGGATGAATGGGTAGATGGGTCAGTATCTGGATGACAGATGGACAGATGGATGATTGGGAAATGGAAGGATGGATGGAGGGATAACTGTGCAGATGGACAAGGGGTGGGTGGGTTGGCAGGCGAATGAAGGTATAGATGGACAGACAGAAGGATGGACAGGAGGATGCATAGGTGAATGGTCAGAACCCAAACCTGAGAAGAGAGAGGGCGCCGACCCAGCCTGCCCCACTGCCCCAAGAAGCACAGCACGGGGGCCATGGCCTCTCTTTTTAATGGCGGCACAGCCTGCGATTTGGTTCCTGTAGCAGGGGACCTGTGGGCAACGCCCTGAGGCCGGGGGCAGGCCTGGGTTTGCGGGGGCACGGGCCGAGGCTGGAGCAGGGGGCTGACACTCCTGCCTGCCCCCAGAGAGAGAAGGGCACTCGGGCCCTTCCAGCCACAAGTGGCCAGAAACTTTGGTTCTTGCTTGGTTTCAAGTTCCTGTCCCCAGAGGGGCTGCCCAGCATGAGAAGCAGGGGGGCTTCGTCCTGGATGGAGCAGAACGGGGCTGGGCTCGGGGGCGGGGAGGAGAGATGCCAGCCGGAGGCAACGCCCGGGTCTCGGGGGCTGGAGCTCCAGAGCCGCCGGCAGAAACAGCACTGGGAAGCAGGCACTGGAACAGGCCTCTCCTGCCGGCCCCACTCGGGGCCCCGGAACCTGGTCCCAGGATCCGGCTCCCGCCCTCGGGAAGGGGAGGCATGAGGAGGGGGCCCAAGGCTGGAAGAGAGAGAAAAGCAGGGGGAGAGAGAGAGATGCAGAGAGGCAGAGGGAGACGGAGATGGCATCACCCACTTAGGGGGACAGAGTCAGTCCTGGGTCCCATAGGGTTCCGTTCTCCACCCAGGAGGCCACCCAGATGAGAGTGAACCTGGCCGACCCAGGTCCCCAACCTGGGCACAACGCTCACACGGGGGACCGGGGCAGGAGGCCAGGCAGGAAGGCAGGGTGGCAGCCAGTCGGGTGGCCCCGCTGGGGTCAGCAGAGCAGAGATGGAGCCTCAGTCCCACCAGATCTCGATGGGTGAGAACTTCCAGAGGTCGGGCTGGCCCATGTGCAGCAGGCTGCTGAAGGGCGAGCTGCTCCACTGGAACGGGGGCAGCTGGTCCCACGTGGGGCCGCTGGCCGCCAGGAGACGCAAGGCCTTGGCCAGTGCCGTGCTGGTCACCTGGGGGTAGAGGGGAGGGCAGGTCGTTGAGTTGTCCCAACCTGGGAGTCTCTGCTGCTCCCCGTCCCAACTTTGACCCCATCCACAGCCCCAGGCCCGGCACCTTCACGTCGATGCCCCCATGGGAGCGCTGGTGCAGGGCCTGGAAGGGGTAGGAGCCGTTGGCTGGGTTGAGGTCAGAGCGGGCCGAGACGGCATTCTCCCCGTTGGGCTTGGGGTTGCAAGCTTTGCACAATGACAGGGGGTCATGCAGGAAGTCGTTGTACCTGGATGCGGAAAGAGAGGAAACCTCAGTCTTGCGGGGAGCCGGGGAGGCCAGACTGCTAGCGGCAGCCCCTAACCCAGCCGCCTGCTTTCAGTGTGCCCGGCTCCCTCCCACCGCCTGAGCTTCAGCCACCACCTCCCCCTTCAGCTGGGCACTCCACAGGTTATCTCAGCCTCAGCTCTGCCATCCCTCCCTCCGGGAATCCCTCTGGGCCCCCATCCCAGGCCAGGCTAGAGACCCTGTTTTGTCCCTTCATAGCATTTCCTGGAGCTCAGACGGTCCTCATTACACGTCCATATCAGTGTGAGTACGGGAGGGATTTCTGCACCCCCCAAAGGGTAGGGTGCTCCCCAAGGACAGTGGGGACACGTTCTGTGCCCGTTTCCCAGTCCCAAGCACAGAGCCCGGCACAGGGCGGTCACTCCACAGCTGTCCGTCATCCTCACCCATGACATGAGGGCAGCAACAGGGCTCAGCCGAGCGCTGCCTCGGTTCTGCTGTCCTGGCTGCTACACAGTTGCACCCCACCCCTGCCGCCCCGCCCCCCCTGGGCTTGTTGGGAACTTGAAATGAGTTACAACAAAGCCCGACCACGTGACTCTGGGCTCACGGTCCCCCGCGTACCTCATAAGCCGGATCATGGAGTGCAGGTCGTGTACCAGTGACTGGTTCCGCCGGAAGATCTGGGCCCGGGGGCTCCCGTCGTAGGAGAACCAGTCCCCAAAGTGGGCCACCAGGGCCGGAAGCCCACTGGCATTGAACACAGACTCAAAGGACCTGCTGGGAACGAGGATGGTCACTCACGACCTCCACTGACTTCACTTCACCCGGCCGTGACCGTGGCCAGGGAGGTGAAGGGGGCGGTCGTGCCACGACATTAACACCAACAACCACAATAGTCGGGATAGCAATAATCATGTCTTTCGTTTGTGCTGTGGGGTGGCTTGGTAGGGTGGCCAAGCTAGAGCTCTGGGGTCCAAGAGGCACGGGTTCAAATCCTGACTTCACCGTTGGCCACCTATGGAACCTTGGGAGAGTTAGGTACTTTCTCAAGGCCTCAGTTTCATCATCTGTGAAATGGGAATAGGAGCAGTGGCTACCACGCACGGTGGCTGTACGGATCAAAGGGGATAACCCAGGTAAAGCACAGTGAGGGTCAAGAGGTGCTGGCTGTGCAGCCCAGTTAAAGCAGCTCCAGCTGGAGAGCCACGGCAGGGGTCGGCACCTGAGCCAGGCCTCCCCCTACCACCCTGCGGTGGGTGGGTGCAGACTGGGAGGCCGAACGGATGCCGACCTCACAACTGTACCCTACAACCGTCAGGGCTTTCCTGGAGAAAAAGGGGGAAGGGTGGGTTTCTTTGTGGAGTTAAAGAATCACCTGGGAAGCACCCCTCCCCAGCACGGAGAGCTGAGCAAAGGGTGGGGAATACCAGGAAGGGGGGACATACGGAATATTGTAGCTGGCCCAGTAGGTCTTCTGGTAGAGTTCCGAGGTCCTGTCGGCCACCACCACCATGCCCCTGCGACCGGGAAGGGACACAGGGCAGGAGTGGTGAGAAAGGGGGCTCCTGTGGGTGCTGCCCTGCTCAATGACCCTCGCTGGCTCCCCATTGCCTGGAGCTAGATTATGTCCCCAATCTTTAGCAATCACGGGCTGCCTTCTCCTCCAGTATTGTCTTCCTGAGGTTTCCCCTCCCACACACGATTCAGCTGCCTCCAGGCCTCTGCCTTGGCAGTTCCCTCTGCTGGAACGCCCTGCCCCTTTCCGGGTACTCACGGGATCTGCTCCAGGATGGTAAGCACCCTTCTCCCAGGGCTGGGCCCGCCGGGGACAAATGCCTTGTAGTCCACGATCATCCACTGGTTGTTGTACCTGCCGTGCCCAAGGAAGGAGGGCTGAACAGACCCTGGGGTCACTGCCCCAGCCTTCCCCTGCCCCCAGGGCCACACACAGTCAGGAATCATGGGGCCAGGGTGGTCTGGGCGCGTCCGGCCATCCGACCATCACCCGGACACTTTAGCTTGACCAGGTGTCCTCAGACTTTTCTCTCATCATGCTGCTTACCTGCTCCAGAAGAGTCTATGGCTCCCTAGTGCTTACTGGAACAAAGGTCAATTCTGCGCAATGTTCTAAGACCCTGCCCTATCCAGTTCCCGTGTCTCTGGCTCATGGGGCCCCCATCCACCCATGTCTATCTCCTCGGATGGCCCTCTCCACTGTCCCCAGAGCTCTCAAGTTCCAAATGTCTTCCTGTCCTTCCTCTGGGAGCCTTTCCCTGGGTGGAGAAGCCTGCAAGAGGGGGGCAAATCCTTTCCTTCCCCGTGCCTCAGTTTCCCCACGTATAAAACAAGGAGAGGACTCAGCAGAGGGTGTGGGGGGTGTGGCCCTGGTGCCACATCAGGGCTCCCAGGGTCTGAGCACTAGCGGGGAGGTTGGGTGGGACGGCCGCAGTTCCAGAAGCCCACTCACGTGCCACTGTTGAACCTCTTGAAGATATCGGCCCAGGAGTCCCCGTCCAAGGCCAGGCGATTGGCCACAACATTTCGCATCCACTCCAGCACACAGCCCTCGGGTTGCACATACTTCCACAGGGCCGAGTTCCGGTTGCCGATGGTGGTCTCCAGGGTCACCTGTGGGAGAGCCGACGGGGCGCTGCACGAAAGGGCCCCCTAACTCACAACCGGGGCATGGTGCCACCAAGTGGCAGCGCTGCATCAATCGTGGTTCAAATCTGTTGACTCGTTTTTTAAAACTTCATGTCCTGGCTTAGGTGCATGTTCCTCACTAGTTCTTTGGATGAGCATTGCGGGGGTTCATGATCAAGATCATGCATCCACCTTTGCCCTGGGAAACAGCCCCTAAGAGAGCCCAGGATGTTGCTCCTACAGGACCCACTCCCCCTACCAAGTGGGTCAACT